CTACACATAGCAAGTATAAAAAAAACTTTTTTCTTCATTTATTTAATTTAAGAAAATCAGTTTTTGTAATGCAAAGTAGTATGAAGAAGTGAAGGAAAAAAATTCTTTGCCCCGAAGACTCATTGAACTTCTACCCAGAAAACCATTTCTTGTGGATGATGGAAAGAAGATGATTTAAGAGGATTTTCTTTTATTCGTCTAACATGCAAATGTACTTTCTGATCTTTTACCTACCTAGATGCTGTGAGTAACACGGAAGAATTCAGTTAGAAGATAATTATTCTTAATGGTGTAAACAAACGGTTTGAGATTAAATGTTGTAAGTGATTGCACGTAAGACGTAATTATGTTTAATGTAAATGAATTGAATAATGAGATGAAGGGACGTCACACGAAGAGTCGTATTGCAATGTTTTGGGTATCAGTTAAGATTGTCACAGAATATCTCAAATAATTTACCCTGAAGATATTTTATTTGAATAAGAAATCGAAACGAAAGAAATTTCTTTCAACAGCAATTACACGGAAATCAGCATTTCGTTTCGCTTTAAATTAAAATAACTTCAACCTTCGTCATCATCATCATCTTGAATTCAATCTCAAACCTTTCTTTTTCTTTTATATCTAAGTAAATTCATTTGTCATCGATTATGATGAAGCATGCAAAATTTTGATGTCAATCGACTTCAATTTTATGCAATTGAAGCTCATCTAAATTTATTTTCAACCCTTTCTATTATTCTTTTATTCATTCCGAAGCATCAACTCAAATGACGAGGGCACAAAGTGAAAAGAACATTTGCCTTGCTCGATTTGTTATGATGCGTTTTTATGATAATAATACTCAAGGATTATTTTTAATGCCAAGTAATAATATCAGACTTTAATTGGCGATAAAATTTAGGATTAGAGGCAATAACGTTTATGAGATTCGGGACAATTTATGAATTAAATTGTAAAGTAAACATGACAATGCGGTAGTTTGTGAGATTTTCGCGGATTTCGCGATTAAAAACTTTTAGTTTTTCAACGGACGATTGGCGATGACTTACATCTGCTACTTTTCCTCTTATCAACAGCAATCTCTTATGAAACTGGACGAGATTTATAATTGAGAGAAAGCAGCATGAATCAACCACCGTGTTTCACTTTCCTGTTTGTTCTCGTTATAAACCACCGCGCCCCGCCACCCTTTCACCCAAACCTCAATCAGTTTGAAATAATTTTCGGTGAAAGTGATCAGCAGGAGGTGATTTCAGTTCTATTTTGACAATTTTTAATTCTTCATAGGGAATTTTACTATGAGATTGGTGCGGATTTAATTATTTCTTTGTCATGAAACTCGATTTTTCTATTATTTTTGTGGACGTTGTTGAGCATCATGCCGAGATGATTATCTGATTATAATATTTTGGTTTGCGTTCTGAATGAAAAAGGCAAAAGGTGACAATACAAATAGAAATTCATCTCTTACCTTCGACTACAAATTTAACGTTTTTATTGATTGTTAAAACAGTGCTGATTAATAATCCAAGTTTTTCCTACTCTCAATCGTTATTTTCTGCTTATTTATGAAACACTCACAAACACATAATTTTTAAACATTAATCTTCACTTTACAAAAATCATTTCAATTCTTTTCTTCTCCTTATAATTTTTTCAAATTAAATTGTATAATTTCGATAGAATAATTTATTTGCTTCTTTCCCTTCAATATTCTGTTCGTTTACACGTGTTTTAAAAATGTTTAAAAAAATTCAACACGCACGTCCGACACAGTCGAAGATCAACTCTCAACTGACGGAGAATATTTTCAACCGAGAGAGTATGAAGTAAGCATAACAACATAGAAAATATCCTGAGCGAACGGAACCAACACAAAGACAGTTCCTTACGTTCTTGACATGAAACCCTTCTTAAGGTTCCAACTGAGTAGAGCCAAAGGCAGTTCGTGAACCCTTTTTTAATAATAAAAGAGAAAAAGAAAACAAAAAACACTTTTTTTGCAACATATGAAATTAAAAAATTTCTTCAAGCCTGCGACTTTCTTCTTTTTCATCATCATCTTAGCGTCAAGAATGGGTTGAGCTCAGGTAATAAATATTCTGAATGCCCTCATTCGATCAAATTGAAAGATTTAGTATAGCAGTCGGAAAATTTTTGAGAGAAAGGTAATTTAGATCACAAATTGGATGAGATTTTATCGATGTGCAAACTCCTTTCACAATATATTGTTGGTGAAAGGAGACAAATTGATTTTCTTTATCATTGATTTTTATCAATTACTATAAATAAAATTTTTTATTACATATTTAAACCCTTCGCTTAATGATATTACGCAATGATTTGCAGAAATTAATTTTATTGCGTTTGAAACTCTTCGATTGGAAAAAAATGAATTTTAAACAGAACGATGACTGTGCTTTGGATTTCTGATTTCTCAAATCCACAAACTTTCGCACAATGACTAAAATACGTTATGAAAAAGCAAAGAAGAATCGAAAGTATTATTCGCGAATTTTTAACGAATTATAGAACATAAATAATTCGCGACTTGAGTCAGACAATTCACATTCATTGAGAATAGAAAAAGATTGTCTAAACCGGTTAGAAGAATTTTTGATAATGACCTTGACTGCTACCAAAAAAATATTTTCCACTCTCTCGTGGAATGCAATCGCGACTGAAGGGAGCGAACGTGATGTCTTAGAAATGAAATAAAAACTCGAAATTCAAGTGTGCTCGCGCCAATTTATGATCGCAGCGGTGAGTGTTACTTTTCCCCTTCTTGCTTATTTGCTTATGCTGTTCAGTGTTCACCTTTCCAGACGACTCACGAATACTCGTAATAAATCGTGTAAACATCGCATTTTGTTTCATATTTAAATGTCGTTAACATTCTTATGGTTTGAAGTGTTCTTAATATTAGAGGTACGACTCTTAAAATGATTCATGACTTTCCCAGAATTTTTTTTCCCATTTAAATAATACAAAGATTGCAATGCAAACCAATAATTATTAAAAATAAGTAAATCGGATTACGAAAATTAAAATTTTTCTCACCTTTTCTGCTTACTGATTGAAGAATGTTTTTCTGTAATAAGATTAGCTAAATGTGAAAATCTTCACACCTTCGTTTCACACTTTCAGACATCTTGAAATTTTTTGGATGCAGTAAAGTGTAATGAATCTTAAAATCAGATTAGTCAAAGGATTAATTTACATAAATTTATTTTTAATTTGTTCTGGAACAAAATTTAATATTTTTTTGAAGTTTCATTTGTGCAAAGTGACGAAGGAAATAATTAAAATCCTTTGGTTCAGATCATAAGAAGTAACGGATTTCTAAATGACTTAGAAAGTTGCTGATGCATAGCTTTGTTGAGCCATAACTAAGAAAAAATTTGTTTTTAAATCAAGACCAGCTTTCAATCGCTCCAATGATTCAAGAAATGCACAAACAGATTTCTTTCTATTGAACAGCTGGTCGAACAACATGCCCTGAATTTGTCCAAATGAAACTTTTCGGAGCATAACAAATTGATTAGCTTGAATTGATGTAATGTTTGACCAAGGAATTCTAAAGTCGATTCATGTTTTCTTTATGCAATCTTACAATGCAAAGCTAATTCTATGCCGCTCATCATAGTGATTGATGATCAGGGAAGTGTTTTTCTTCTGGTTTTGAACATTTTTTTCTTCACTCATTGTGTCATGTCCCTTTAAATGATTTTATTTATACGAAGATATCAGTTTTCCTTTTAATTAATGAGATGCAATTTAACATGAGAGATCATTGAATTTCAAGAGCGTTCTTCTTGTTTGTTTTGGTGCTTAAAAATATTTTCTTATTTCCTTTTGCAGGGTTGGAAATCGATTTGTCTTCAACGTCATGATGTGAAAATAAAACGATGAATGAAAAGGCCGATGATAGAAAAACAAGAGCAAATTAACTTTTAAGCGCTAAAAGTAGATTCCAAGCATCCATGCTGTCATCTTATTCAGCCTTTATCGTCAAATTTATGTCTTAAAAGGTGCTCAATTGTTTGAACAATTTAATCATAAATGGCTTTCGCAGCGGGCCGTCACATAAAAGGTTTAATTGATTAAAAACCCATTACAAAGTTTAAAGAGAAGAAAGGAATTCGATCAATTCAACAATTCGTGAATAAAATCTTTTGTGTTGTTGATGGTTTAGGACTTCGTTAACAATTATTTTCGGTTTGAAGTTCGTTATCAATACTTTATGAAGGCATTTCATTGAGAAACTAGATCAAATCTATACAAGCAGATGTAAACTTTTAATAAAGAAAAGCTAAAAAACATCATAAATTTCAAGTTAAGGAAGATGATTCAATTATCAATTTTATTTATCACTTCTCGAGATGAAGAAAATTTCACGATCATTAAGATTAATCGTCCGTCATATTTCTTCTGAAGTATCAGTCATGGTCATGATAGAAAATTCCAAGGAGAATCCTATGACAGCATCTCGATCAATCGGAAACTTTACGTCCTTTGTGATGATCTAATTCAATGACATGAATACGAACGTTAACGAATAATCAATTACTGATGTCTTGAAGAGAAGAAGTCTTTCAAATGCCTTCACATAAATTTATTTCGCAATTATCTACGCAATTGTTATTCTATTGAGTCGAGTTGTCTTCTCATAGTCTCTGAATTTATGAAGCGGTACTATGTGAAAGCATAACGCAGGATATCATAAAATATATGTAACAGTTATTGGATCACAGGATTTCTTAAGCTACAATGGATCCTCGTTACCCTCTTGAATAACAATATTTCAATCTTCCCTTGACCTTAACTGCAATATTACAAATTTCACTGTTATTCAAAGTTTCTTTTTCCTTAAATGTTTTCCTTCTTCCATCATCTCATGAATAAGAAGAAAAGAAGATCTGGATCATAAGATGCAATGGATATTATTATGTAAAACCACCTGGAAGTTTTCTTCCTGCATTGAATGTTAAGAAATTGTCGAGAAGAATTAATTTAAAATATTTTTAAATGTTCTGGCTACTGGTCAGAAATATCCAACAGTGAAAGGTCGCAATTTTCACTCAGTTTCACGATCGAATATTAATGACAATAAAAACTTTTTACCTTGCAACTACAACAGATGTTATCGAGCGTTGCATGTAAATATTTTTGTAAAACAATTGATGATGACACAAGAGTAATGAAAACAGTTGGAAATATGTAGAAATAATAATGATGATCATGTCACGAGGTAACTTATGCAACAGAATTTATTGGAAATTAATGAAAAATATTTTCTTTACATCAGTTGAAGCATCAGCTAGCATTAAATGCATTATTCATGATTCTTTATTTTATGACATATGGTGACTTACTTATGTAGATACATAAGTGCATATGAATATAAATTTAATCGCTCGCCATCGAATTGAACAATCAACGATAATAAAAGCAGCAGCAGCTTGTGTCCGTTATCTCAAGTGTTAATCGTATGAGTCAAGGCAATTTGCACAAATTAATATTGGTGCCAGGATAAATTCGCATAAAATTGACCGCAAAATTATTGTTTCTGCGGGTAACAGTTAAAGTCAATATGGAAATAAGATAGAATTATGGAATTGTAACGAACTTTCAAGTGCTACAAAATTTCACATACATAACGTGCAATAAATTTACATTTCCTTCCTTTCCAGTTGCATGTCGTTTGAAATTCCGTTGACGTTTTGTTTCTAGTTAAACTTCTATTAAATTTATTTACTTAGACGATATCAGTTACAATCTTAATTAGGAACAAGTGCATTTGGTTTTATTAATAAAGTAATCTCGATGAAACTGTTAATTCTTCTTCCGCTTCCTGTTTCCGAATTCTCGTTTTTTCTTAAAAAAACTTTTTTGTGATATATTGAATCGGACGTTCCATATAAATTTTTTCCCATTAAAATATTTGTTTAAAAACTATTTCATTCCAAATGTTAAAAGTTTCACCGAGAAATCAACGAAGCGAAAATACTTGGCAACATTTCTTTACATAAAAGAAACCCGAGAAATCCGCCGCATGAAAAGACATTTTTTAAAAGCTATCACCACATAAATTAATCGGATCATGCTTTCTCACTGTTAATTGATAATCTTATTCTCAAATTTAATGCTATTAAAATACCATTAGAGAGTCAGTGGAGTGTAAATATTTTGCAAAAATAATATTTATCTTTCAATATAATTTTTTATTCCCACTTTCGCAACCCTAAGGGCTGAACGCTATGAATTTAAATATGTACGTGCATAGCTTTCATGCAATTCCTTCTGAAGCGAATAATTTATGATCGTTTGGGAAGAAGAAATATTATTAATTTTCATAAATAATCAGAAATGCATCGTTGAACGTATCACATCATTAAATGCTTGCGAATTGTTTTTTTTCTTCTTCATTCTGATACTGTTGAACAATCACGGCGAACCCTTATTATTTCAACATAAAACTATGGTTCATTGAAATGGTCAATGAACCGAGAATATACGATTACGATTTAAGAATTTGAAAGCTGTCAATCACTTTCAGAGTTGTAAATGAAATGAATTGGACCTTCGTAAGATGTGATTGAAGATTATTGTTCTGTTGTAAGGGATATCCCAATGTTTACCTGAGTGTGAAAAAGATTGAGAATGTCAAAGAGACTTTGATGAAGTTGTTTAAAATTTTTCCGGAATTTATGATCAATTTTTTTAATGCCTTTCTTAACACCTCATCTTTTCTACATACATATTAGATTGCATCTTTTTATACTTGAATTAACATAGATATTCATCATAAACTACTTTTGTTACTTTCTGATTTTCTATCAACATAAATAACTTCAGCTAAATAAGTTTGCACAAAAGATTAAACTATTCTAAATGTTAACATGGATTCATCAAAGGTAAGAAATCTCATAACTTAATAGTTTAATTTTATCATCACATTGAATAATGTGTATGCTGTTTGAACAATCTGTAAAGAAATATTATTTGATTAAATTATAATATAAATCTTATGAAACTTACAAAAATGAACAATTCCAAATCAACAATCCTCATCTTGAATAAAATCATTTGAACTGGTTTCTGAAAATTCATAATCATGATGATCAATGAACGTTTTAATGAAGGTGAGTTGATGGTAGGCCAATGAATTTCTGTGTAAAGTTTCACAGCCATCTCTTGACTTTGAAGAATTAAAATATTTCCACCATTGCAAAATATCCACGATCCATAAAAACTTGACAAAGAATATGTAGCAAGACGAATGAAAATTAAAGAATATGAAAGATTAAATAAAATTGTGCCCAACATGATTATGTAACTCAAGACATCACTCAGCAAAAATCCGTGAAAATTTGAGGAAATATCTCTGATAATTTCCTTCGTTTTCATGTGAAACTCCACAGAATTTCTTATGATTTCCTTTTCATTCTCAGGCTTCGTGTTCACCTCTAAAACTTGCTCAGTTAAGTAATCATAAAGTGTGATGACTTGAATGCAACAACTGTAAAAGCAAATATGAGTTGTAAAGTTTAAAGCACCAAAAGTCATTCCAGTTAGAAATCCCATGGTATGAACAACTTCTTTAAAAGGTGTAAAATTGAAATCGAAAGGATACTTCAAAACATCTTTAAACACTTCGTCAGTTAATGTCAACATGAGAAATGGAATGGCCGTTGATGTGCATAAAAATAAAACATAACTGCGAATAACTCTGTAAAGCGATTTCCTATTTTTATCCGATTTTGTCATTGATCTGGTTGGAACTAAATCTGTCATTGTTTTGAATATTTTGCTATAATCCTCCAGATTCCAGATGAGCATGCAATATTTCATATATCCACTTATGTTGTAAGCATTGACCATGATATGTTCAGCATAAGCATTAATATTTTGGTGACTCAAAATATTCCACACAGTTCCGTAACTCTATCAACGACAAAGAAATTTAACTCTGAACATTTTTTATTACAAATAAAAAATCACCATGGGAAATATATTGAAAAAGAATAAAATGACTAAGAAGAATCTTCTCCTTATAATCTGACGCGAATCTTTTGTCTTCTCAGGATGAATTCCAAAAAATCCCATCAACTTTTTCACTAAATCAAAATTCATTCCTCTTTTTTCAAACCTTTCTGTTCGAATGAAAGTTAAAATGTAACCAAAAACAACCTCAACATTGTCTTTTAAATCTTCTGCAATGTTTGAGAAGTATCAAAAGTTTTGAAATTAAAATCAAATTATTTATAATGCTCAAGAAGAAAACAAAGACAAAGTTTTATTTTAAAGTTGAAACAAACAAATCGTTGGGAATAGTTTTTAATGTTTCAAGAAAAGTTTTAAATGTTTTCCACAACAAAAACTTTGATGATGATTCATTTACTTTTTAAACTGAACTGATTTAATTAATTTTCAAATAAATTGTTGGAAACAAGAAAAAGTTTTTCATATTTTAAGGAGCTGATAATTTGCCTTCAATAATTTAACTTCCTTCTTTCCACATGATTTCAATTATCAACAAATTCAGTAAGTAACATCTGTCATGTTCTCAGAGATTGAAAATTTCATAGATTTGTATTTTTAACATATTTGATTAATGATGCTTGTGTCATAGATACATTTTAATTATTTAGGATGAAAACTATAAATCTCTCGATGAGCATAGAAGAATGTCTTAATTATGACAGAACAAGTTGTGCAGCAAGGTTTGCTTTTTGTAGTTGAAATTCTAGGAAGTTGAATCGGAAAGATTATTTATATTCATCACTGACAATCTACCGATAATCTTTATAATCATTTGTTCGATTTGTATTATCTAATAGAATTATTGGAAATCAATGATTTATCGCTTGATTTAATACCTAAATTGATACAAATAACGTTTTCAGCGTTGGTAAACTGTTGAATTAGCAACCACCTTGCATCGTTCGATCTCAATTCACAGCGGTTTTTCTTCCTTTTTTTTCCCTAAATATTTATCTTTCAATTAATTTTCGTTTTTATTACAAATTTCACGTAAAAATAACTGACAAAAAATGTTTTTTCCATCAGAATTATTTTATTCCATCTATTGAGATGCAAAAAAAAGCAACAAACTCATTACGCAAAAAATGCATTGTTATAAATTAATAAAAAATAAAAGAGAAATATCTCTAAAATGTCATGTTCTCTTTCTTTTGATTTGAGTGATGGAAGAGGCAGTTTTTGATATCTATGTGATGTGAAAGGTTCGAGTCATAAAAAATAATGCGATTTTTCTATAGTATTAGGGTTAGTAAGAAGTTTCAAACAAAAGAGACAAGAAAAGGAATGAAACGGAACTGAACATCGGGGAAAGATCGAGAAAAATTGGATCATAATTTAGAATTGATGGGAATCGATGCACATTTTTGTACAAAATTTATGATGTTTGTGCTGTAATTTAGAAATGAGCATCTGCCTAGTCCAATGTATCTTAATTTATTTTACGAATTCTCGATTCTCTCAGACACTTTTTTGCTTTTTTGATAAGAATATTTGAAGAAAATTTATCCGTTTAAATGTTTTAAAAACGATGTTAAGTTTCAAGCGTTGACAAATATTACCGCTAAAATTGTCTTTCCTATGAATTTCTAACATTTTCAGGCTATTTAATCAAGGTTTTGGTTTTATAAGTACAACAAATGCTTTTACTCTCTTTGTAGGGTTTTGGATCAAAAGATTAAAACTAATGATAAAAGAAATCAATTTGTCATACCATTTAAAGGAAATTCTCAAAACCGATTTTGCAAAATTAATTATTTTCTTTTCGGATGTTTGTTAGGAGATTAGGAAATATAAAAAAGAAGTTTAAAAAGTAGAGCAGGGTAAGAAGGCGAAGGGATTAAATCCAAAAATCTGCGACACTTCCTGAAGGGTTCTTTGATTAGCTGGAAGGAACTCAGAAGAATTCTCTCACGAATCGAATTTTTCTCATCTCTGAACTTCAAGCCAGACGGCTTATTAGAAATTTCTTAAAAATATTCTTGTAGGTCATTTAAGTTCAATGAATCTCAGTGGTTCAAAGAATTTCAGTAAAAGTTGGATTTTCTTTTGATTTTTTATTTAATAAGAAGGGAAGTTGAAGAATTATTTATATTTACCGTTTTCTGCTTCTTAAATTCACTAACAAGAGCTAATCAAATAATTCCTTTATGTCAATCATTTAGAATAGGAAGAGAAATCTATAATTAAGAGCTCACAAATCTTTTCTCTTCCACATTATGCATTGATTTATGTTTTCTTTTGTGATTTATAAAAAGGAAATAAGTCGAATCTCCTGCGATTATGAACTTAGGGATAAGAGATTTTTAGAGTGATCAATTTATTCCCCATTAATGCTTTATGCATGTTTGATGAATATTTTCGGATATAAATAATTAGTTAAAAAAAATCAGATTACAGATTGTGGTTTGGTGGTTTTTAATAAGCAAAGATGGCGAAACTGGAAGCGATTTTTCAATTATTTAATTTAATTTCCAGACTATTAAAAATTATACACGTAATAATGCGGATTATGAAAGCCGAGCTCTTTGATAATCAACGAATGCTAACGAATAAAAACTTTCGTTAAATTGAGACGTATTTTTTTTTAAAGTATGTTTTAATCAATTCTTTGATTGTCTTACTTGAACACATTTCAAATAACTCTTCACATTTACATGCGTGAAGAGCCTTTTTGAAAGTCTGTTTCAGCAATATTAAATTATGTACAATTGTATTACTACAAAGAAGTTGTTTTCCTTCTATTATTTCATATCATATAACTTTCCAGATATCTCCAAATTTTTATATATCAGTAGATGCGAAATGGTTTTTTTCTGACTGTATAATTTTTATATATCTTGCTTATCACAAATGTTTTTAGTAGTAAGACTGTATATAAATTTATATAAAAACGTTGCTTTATTAGATGAATTCTATCTTCTTCTCCTGGTTAAACCAATTAATACAAGGTGAACAGTCGAGCCATGCGGTCATTTAATAGAACTTTGCGAAGTTTGAAAATTGTTTCAAATCCTTTTTTAATTTTTTATATAGTTTTTATTATTATAATTCTTAAATCAATCGGGACATTCGATAAGAAAACTGAAAAATCTGCGTATGGGAAGATATATCCAGCTGTAGAAAGTTATGAAAAGAAGGATTGGCACGATTGGAAATTTATTGAATACGAAGCAAGTCGAACCGGTCCCGGGGAGAATGGCAAAGCTTTTTTTCTCACAGATCCTGAAGATATAAAAAAGAACGAAAAGATTTTCGAAGTAGAAGGATTGAATGGCTTGGTTAGTGATATGATCCCATTAGATCGAAGTGTCCCAGACACCAGACCTCCGATGTTAGTTCAGATGGTTTTTCTTAAATTAGATATTTGTCTCACCTGCTTCTTTTTTTTTTGTTTTAGTTGCAAAACAATTTGGTACTTGGAAAAACTTCCAAAAGTGACAGTCATCGTTATTTTTCACAACGAATATTTCTCGGTTTTGATACGAACAGTTCGATCAATAATCAATCGTACACCTCCAGAACTTCTCGTGGAACTGTTGATGGTTAATGACGCAAGCACAAAGGAAGAACTTTATGAACCTCTTGCGACTTATGTAAGAGAAAACTTTGATGAAAGAGTGAAGATTGTCAATCTTAAAGAAAGACATGGATTGATTCGAACACGCGTAGCTGGAGCTAAACTAGCAACAGGTGAAGTTCTGGCATTTTTCGATTCCCACGTAGAAGCAAATGTGAGTTTCTTTACCTCAGATAACTTATTCAGTCAATATTAATGAACAAATAATTATTTCTGAAAAATTGACAGGTGAACTGGCTGCCTCCGCTTCTAGGGAACAGAAAATTAATAATTTTTGATGTAAACATAGAAAATAACTTGAAATGTCTTCGCAGAACCAATAGTTTTAGACCCTAAAACATGCACAACTCCAACTTTTGATTATCATAACTCTATGGATTTCAAAATCAGTCCATTCCATAACCGAACACGTCTCGTTTTCGATTTCACTTTGAATTTATTTTATTTGCCAAGACTTCCTGAGCATGAGCTGTATCCTGAAAAACCAGCTCCACTACCAGCAATGTTAGGTGCAGTGTTTGTGATTCGAAAAGATTACTTTTTTGATATTGGTGCATATGACGAAGGTTTAGAGATTTGGAATGGAGAACATTTTGAATTGTCTATAAAATTATGGCTTTGTGGTGGCAGATTACTAGAGGTACCTTGCTCGAGAGTCGCACACATATTCAGAAAGCATTCATTATACCGTAAGAAGGCACCAACAGATTTTGTCCCACACAACTTTAGACGTGTAGCTGAGGTTAGTTGACTTACAATGTTTTCGTTGAATTTATCAAAACAAAGTTTCAAAACAGATGAAAATTAAGTTTTAATGTAAACGTTAACTTGATGTTATTAAAAATTTCAGGTCTGGTTTGATGAATATATTCAATATTTTTACCGTGCTAACCCTGAAAAACATACGACAGTTGATGCTGGTGACTTGACAATACCCAAAAAAGTCAGGAAAGATTTGAAATGCAAACCTTTTCAGTATTATGTTGAACATATTGTCCCAGATATGACTGAGAAATTCCTTAACGAAGATCGTGGAGTGTTTGCCAGTGGTGCTATACAAAGCGTTGCTGATTCAAGTTTGTGTTTAGATTACCACGGGAGACCTAAAGGAATGACTCCTCTGTTGAAACCATGTGACAGTAACTTGACGGACCCGAAGTTGAATCAAAACTTTGTCTTAAATTGGCATCGTCAATTGAAGAAAAAAAGTTATTACTACATTGGAGATTGTATAACAGCTGAAGGAATGGTAATGACAAATTGTAATTTTGTTCCTAAAAATCAACTTTTTTACTACAATTATGTGAGTTAATTCATTCATTGTTTTTATTATGTATATTATTTTGTATAATATTCTTTATGTTTTCAGACATCAAATCAACTGATTAATCCATGGAGAAACGTTTGTTTAACAGCAAATATAAAATCTCTTGAAATCAAAGATGTGAAGTGTGATTCAAATGATGTCAATCAAAAATGGTCATGGGGATTTGTTAATAAAACTGCAATCGACAATTGGGACACATACGGAGTTCAATTTCATAAACAAAATGTCAAAGATTTTGTTGAAAGATATAATTATATTCATTCTTAATTATTATTTTTTGTATTAATATATGTAAATAAAATTTTAAAATGAAATTCGTTTTAATACAAAATTTAATTAGTGTTAGAGTAATGTCAAGGTGCTTCACCATCTTATTCATTTCAGTTCACTATTTAAGTTTCTGGAATGAGTATTTGTAGCTGATAATTATCTTAACAAGGATTGGGTTCGTGTGTGCCAATGATATTAGTTAGCAGCTCAAAATAATGCTCCACGAAGGCAATTTGAAATTTCTTTACTACCGTGGTGTTCAAAAATTCACTATAAGTAAATTATACAAAAACATTTGTGAAAAGGAAAATGCAAACTCCCTCTCAGAAAATATTCCCGAAAGAAAATATAAGCACATAATGTGAATTTAAGATGGAAACTTAAAGCGTTAGCCAGTTTCATAAGTATTAAGTCTTTTATATATTCGAAATTAGTACATAAGTATTATTACAATGTTCAATGTGTGAGTGACACTTAATTAAATTTCAGCATCAATCATTTTTTACTTATATTTAAGTGTATAATTTCGGCGTGTTAAATTTAAGTTAGTAATAGCACAATACATATCTATTACGCTTCTCCCAATCACACATGTTGAAGTTCATTTTATACTTAAGTTATCTACTTATTAAATTTATCTGATTTCTGAAGCCTTAATAAGTTATCAGAATTTTTCTCGTGAATAATATAAAGTGAACAATCGAACCTTGCGGACATAAAAAAAATTGAGCACGATTAAAACTTTAGTAATTGTGAAAGAAATCAAACCGGTTCTGATGAGAATGGCAAAGATTTAAACCCGAAGAAACTGAAGATATTTAAAAGAATAAAAAGATTTTCATGGTAGAAAGATTGAATGGCTTGATTAGTTATTGGCAGCCAATAGTCACAAGATCAATGTTAGTAATAGTGTTTCTCTATTTTCTTAAACAAATTGTTTGTCTTATTCTTATTAAACATTCGGTATTAGATGAAGAAACAACTTAGTGCTACTAACCAAGACATTCCAAAAAGGCATTTATCGTTATTTTTCAAACTGAAAATCAAATTTTTATTCGAGCTTTATGAATCTCTTCAAATTAATTGATTCGAACACGTAACTCGATTAGGTGATGACTTAGCGACAGATGAAGTTCTGGTAATTAAATTTCCATGTCTAAACTACGTAAAACCCTTGATAATCTTCTGCAAACATTAATGAACAAACAATTATTAATGAACAGAAGCTTTTAATGAGAAAAATAATACGTCGATTGTTTGGCTCCGCTTCTTGGTAACAAAAATTTTCTTGATGACGAACTACTCACGAAATCTCTTCACAGAATCAATTGTGCTTGATTCCAGAACCTACATTTGATTTCTATAGCCCTTTATTGCTTCAATATCAGTCCATTACGCAATCAAACACGTCTACTAATTTTATTTGCGAAGATCTCTCATCAGTTTGATAATGCGCCGCTATAAACTTCTAGAAGCTTCTGTTATTGAACCATAATTTTTTTCTTTACTTTATTGCTAACGAAATGACATGTGGACTGAGATATTGACAGACAATATTTCATTTTAATTAGATATTTCTGTTGTTTTTCGGCTTATCGGCGTGTATGTTTTTTTATTAATTACATGTCAACTTGCTGAAATTATATGAATCATTGGAGAACAGCCGAGGATGATGAATTGAAGTGAAATTCAGAGAAAGAAATCTAATTTGAATTTTTAATTTTTCTTGATGTCTTTCGACATTTCCAAGTCGTCAAACGGAACATTGTCATGTACCTTTCAAACCCCTTTTTGTTCCTATTCGATGTTGTTTTTTCTGATGACGAAGGAAATTCAGTTGAGAACAAGGATGGTTTATTAAAGTTCTTCTCGATAGTCTCCTTGAATCATTCGAAACTTATCTGAGAAAAGAGGAAAGTGACAGTTTTGGGAGGAAATTTTCAATTGCATTATGAACATTGTTTTCATGTTTGACATGTTAGCATAAACTTTTTTATTCGTCATTTGTGTAATGTGAGAGTTGAGGTAATGCACTCGAAAGTTGAGAACAAAAAAGGAATTTTATTTGAAGAACAATCTCGGAAACTAATCAACAAGAAGGAAGCAAAAACGAGAAGTCAATGTAAAGAGATCTCGACAATATTAAATCAATTTGAATGTCTCTAAAGGGTTGAACGCTTTCTCTCGTGAATAAACAAAGTTGTAATGAAATATTTCTTGATAAATATCTCAAAAGACGTCAACAACTGTTGTTCAACAACTGACCTTTTCACTTTCGTTCTTTATTCAATGTCCAGTTTTGATGACAGAAACTTCTTCCCAATAATGGTCAGCGAATAATTTTGTGGTGAACTTAACATCATTTATAATCTGACTGATGTTTTTTTTTTGTTATTTGAAAGGAAAAGAAAGCGGTTTGAAGTCGACCACGGTGACTAAAGAAAGGTAATGTGAAGGCTTAGGGTTAACCGGGAAGGTCCTTGAACAATTTCACCGCTTCGCACCTCTCGCGATCCCTTTCTAAATAATTTGGAATGACAATCACGCACTTGAAGGTTTCTTAAGACTCTGTAAGATACTTTATGACGTCCTTAGGTCGTAAATCAGAATTTTATAATATAATTTCAGATTTGTTTTGAATAACTAAGTTTAAAGATTAATTTTCTTCAGCTTAATTTGCCAAGTCTATATACTCAAATCGTTAATCGATTGACATAAAGGGAAGTAAAATAGTTTAGCAAAACACGTTGGTTTTTGGTTCACAAGAAAAAGTTTAAAAAGCTATAAATAATCAATAAAATATTAAAAGTGCACGACAAAATTAATATAAAAGCAATTCCGCTAATTCTGTTTGTTTCAATTTGATTTTTATTTGATTTCGAGATGTTTGGTGACAAAACAATTTTTTGTTTTATATTGTTCAGTGTAATAAATTTTAGTGGAGTTAATAGTGGAGGAGACGGTTCGTCTAGGCAAGGTAAATTTTAATGATAACATTTTGTGAAACTTTTTAGTGATCAATTTTCTTAAATCAAAGTTACCATACAACCGAGTGGACCATGCGATGAGATCGATTTCACTAAATATGAAATATGGCTGCTTATCATTGAGCAATACAGTGCAACAATTGTTCAACTTGCTAAAAGTATTCTTGATGAATTGAGGGAAGTTCCTGTAGCAATCCTAGACGAAGGAGCTATTTTCAGATTGGTTCGATTAACAGAAATGGTTAGACAATTACTTGATGCAGTTAGGAAATTCAATGTGTCACAATCTGAACTCATAGACGATCTTGAGTCTTTAGTACCTTGTGACGAAGAGAAACGAAACGCGCTGCTCGATGCTGCAAAGTCATTCAATCCCACTGAAGAAGTTTTACTAGCAATTCAAACAATGAATAATTATTTGACTGGTGGGGAAACGAGTCCAGAAACACCAAGCGCAGCTCCGTTGATGGGTGCATTAGATATCAAAAAACCATTTTGGAATAAACAAAATGTTATAGAAGATGAGTTGGAAAGAATAATTACACAAATTGATCAAATGGAAGAAACGTTGACAGCTTAATCTCTTTTTCAATTGGGCGTATAAAATTTCACAAGTTTTTTTTACTAAACTTAATTATTCAGATCATAAATTAAACAATCTAATAAAACATTTACTGATTGACTCGATTCTTAATCCCTCGCTTAACAAATCCAAGCAGAATGCATTCATTTAGGAACATTTTAAACTCGTTTTGATTTGAAACTGGGGTTTTTGACATTTCTTTACAATTTGATGATTTTCTAAATATTTGCATCGTGACAACCAAAACCTGTTTTAACTTTAAAAGAAATGCAAATGACATCAGGAAATACAAAAATTAAATTTGAAAATTCTCTTTCGTCAATGTTTGCCGCAAAATCAGGAAATACTGGAATCCGTTGAAATGTATTCTAACTAAGTTATAAGATTCTAATGTAGAATCATTCTTATAAGAATTTCAAAATTATTCAATTCCAGTTTCTCTTTAAATATTTTTGCTGAACAATATTCTTAATAACTTCACAATTTAAATCATGATTAAAAATATTACAATTTGAAAAAATCTTTTCAAATATCTATCCTCGTGGCATTCCTAGAACCCAATAAAAATGTTTATTTGTCAAGCTGTTGGTTAACCGATCAATAAAATTTTCAGAAGTAACGAAAGAAATTGAAATTCATTTGACTTAATTTTTATGTTAATTTTATGACTTTCGAATATACCAAATTGCTGTCCATATTGAAAAACGTAGCGTATCCTTTTGCATTCATTAAGCTACGGACAAAGAATAATTTATGATGTAACGTGTCATATGCTGGTTCCACTACAAAACCGTTCCACCGCACAACAGTCGTGAAGTTATCGTTTTTCATGATCAAATACAACAACAATAATACGTGCAATTATGTTTCATGGTAAATCGAGATTATTTTAAACGAATTTTAATTTGTTTTTGTTTTTAAACTTTTTGATAGGAAAAGCCACAAAACATTCCCTCATGCATATTGTCATTTTATATAAATAAAGAGAAATAATTCTGAAAACTGAATCTGCCTAGCAAATATAATAATAATTAGCCACATCTACTTCATATTTCACTTCATTAATCTAAAATAAATTTAATTAAAGCTTATTTAATTATCAAACGTGTTCAACACTAGCTAATCATCCATAATTTTAATGATAATGATCAGATTCCAAAAACGTTAAAAACAGAGAGAATGAAATCAACAGAAAGTTTATCTAACAACAACATTTCATTATAATTAACAGTGAAATCGATAGTAATTTGCGAAAAAAACTAGGGCTAGGAATTTAAATTATCTAAATCGAATGACAGAACTGCTAGCTTTAAAAGAGTTGGGGCCAATTAAAAATTCGATGTTATCACTCAAAATGTTTTTAAATCTGCCACACCCCTTACATCTTTTTAACTTTTAAACATTTATTACTTATGATCGTTTAAAAAGCATAAATTGCTGAGTATTGATCGACATGCTCATGAAGATGGAAGCTTGGGTAAGTAGCGAATGAAACCAATTAAATGGTTGAAATAAATGTTTTATTTTCATTTTTAAAAAAAATATTTGCATATCTCATACTAACAAATTGAATTGTTGCTGATTTGAAATCTGGCTAGCATGAAAGATTTTTTAAAAATAATTTTAATTAAGTCATTTTGACGGTATATAAATGAGTGTCACATGCATTCATATTTCAGTTCAGTTTTATTTAGAACAAAAATTTATTATTGCTTGGCAGAGTAAATTTACTGCAGAGAATGAAAACTTTTCTCTGTTTCTTTTGTGCTTTCATAATTTTTCCACAAGTGTTTGGGAAAGGAAAGTTGAGATTTAATGTTGATGATCAATACGAAGTGTGTTCACCAGAAACTGATTCATATCAAACATTTGATCCAACTGATATGAATTTAATTTCGGTGAATGATACGCATACTTATCTGAATGGAACGTTCAGGACTTTAATTAATATGCCACCATGGCATGCTCGTGTATTTACCGAAAAGCTCTATGGAGAAAAGTGGGAAATCTTCATGTTCAATCGAAATATGCCAAATTTTTGTTCTCTGTGGCATCTTCCAACTGAAGTCTGGTATGATATCACCAAAAAGTTTCAAAATTGTCCCTTCAAAGTTGGAGTAAGTTTAAAATTGACGAAGAAATTTGAAATTGTAGATTAATTATGTTTTATCAATTAGGATATTGTACCATTGGATATGGTAAGAATCAACGATTTCTCATTGAACTTTCCGAAAAGTTTCAAAGGTCGCTGGAGAGGAACATATCACGGTTATCGTGAAATAGATGGAAGAAAGAAAATGGAATGTGTTCGAATTTATGCTGACATGGTCGAAGACGTATAAAAGTTCTGAAATCGATTTTCAAGAAAAATTAAATTTCTTTAATTAAAATTTATATTGTCAGCACAATGGTTCGCTGTTTGTTTTGCACAAGTAAATGAATAAAAAAAATTATTTAAAATGTTTACATAAATTTCTTTTGAATATTTATTTTCTTCAATTCTTCTTTTAAATATTTTTTAAAATAACTCATCAAGCAGTTTGTTAATAGCTTTCATTATCTTTTTTCTGATTTAGTTTTATAATTGTTCATCCAATATAAAAAAATTGATTTTTGTTATGATTCTAGCAACACGACACATTATCATTAATTATGCAGTCAAAAGGAAATCGCTTGCAAAATCAGTAAAGAGTTATTTGATATTCAATTAAGATAAGTTGATCAAATAATAATTCAATTAATTAGATGAATGATCCGAATATACTTTTAAATTTTTAATCATTTAAGCGATATATAAACGAAAATCATTTTAAGATTCTCTCAGTTACTTCAATTATTCTTTTAAGGTCAGAAGTTTCAAAGTTAATTTGTGATAGAAATCCACAAGAAATGAAAATTTTATTTTGTACTTTATGTGTTTCTACACTTTTTACAACCATACATGGCAGTGCAAAATTTATCATTGATGAACAATATGAGGTGTGTTCACCAGAAACCGATTCTTTTGAAACATTTGATCGAAGCAATATTGAGTTCATTACGGTAAACGATACACACAGTTTTCTCAACGGATCCATGACAGTTTTACATGACATTCCACCATTTCATGTGCGATTGTTTACTGAGAAACTTTATGGTGATAAATGGGAGAAATTTCTTTTTGATCGAGAAATCCGGAATTTTTGTTATGAAATGCATCAAAGTTTTGAATTCTGGTATGAGATCATGATGCATTTCCATCCATGTCCTTACAGCAAAGGAGTAAGTTTAATTTTTGATAAAATAGAAATGTTTTAATGTGTTATAAAACTTATTTTAAAATAGGATATTATATTAGCAGACATGATAAGAATAAATGTTTTCAATGTAAGAGTCCCACGCAATTTTCATGGTCGCTGGAGAGGAACTTATCATGGATTTCGACAATTAGATGGGAAGAAGAAAATGGAGTGTTATCGAATATATGCTGAATTCGTTGATGAATAACTATGGACAAGTATCTTGTTTGCAGCTTCCTCTAGAAATGTAAACAGAAGTATAAAAAATTTGCAATTTAATCAATTGATCAAATGGGTTCGTCTATTTTGTAAGCACAAGTTCACTAACTATCTACTTAGTAAAAAAAACTTTATGTCTTATCTGCATAAATATTATGAAATATCAACTAAATAAACTCTTAGTAAATGATTTGTAATTTATTTGTAAACGAAATCAAAAATATTTTTCTGAATAATAATTTTATGTTGTTAGTATGTTTAAGCTTTAAATTATTGACTTAAATACCATAAGAATTAAAAAAATAAAGAACAAAGAAAATACTAAAATGTTTCAAGAAAACATCGATCATCTCATTGATTATTCAAAATCGAACAGGTTGGCTTTAATGAATGCAAAAAAATTTCAATAATGGCCTTCACCAAACGTTACTTGAATTTCATCATCAATCGTTATAATATTGAAGCTTTTGAATTGTAAAGAAAAAGACCAATTAGAGATCTCGGAGTTATCTTTGATCACGAATTAAACATTGAAAATTTAAATTTGCTGCAACAAAAAGGATATTTCTGTTAATTGTAGGTAAAAGGCAGAAATAAATAAAAAAATAAATAAATAAGAAAAGCTTTATCAGAAACAATGAGACAATATCTGATCATCTACAATATCGAACAAAGAGTTAAAAAATAATAATTTTGTTAATCGAATGTACCAAAAGATGTCATCGACAATGAAATTAACAAGAAGGAGTGTTCCATATCATGTTTGAAGTATAAATCATTTTAATTGGCGAAAAGGAAGGGCTAGGTATTGAAAGCTAATTACATCAGACAAATTTCAGAGTTCAGAAAATTTGAATCTAAATTTATTCATATCATAAATCGATACTAATTTTAAGCTCTGGATAGCATTATATAAATACATATCTAAAAATGCAATCGACATTTGCTTAAACTCTGGACAGCATGCAAAAAGCTTAATTAATTGAGTTATTATAACGATATATAAATGAATGTCTGAATTGTTTTTGAACTTAAAACTTGTTACTGTTAAGCAGTGTAAACTCTCCACAAGAAATGAAAACTATTTCCTGTTTCTTATGTGCTTTTATGTTATTTCTGAACGCATTTGTTCAAGGAAAAGTGAGATTTAGTATTGACGATAACTATGAGGTGTGCTCACCAGAGACTGATTCATTTCAAACTTTCGACACAAGTAAAATAGAGTTAGTTTCGGTAAATGATACACATACTTATCTCAATGGATCTTTAACAACTTTATTTGAACTACCACCATGGCCTGCTCGTTTTTATACCGAAAAGCTTTATGGAGATAAATGGGAAATATTTATAATCAACCGACAGGTTAAAGATTTTTGTTCTGAAATGCATGCAAAGAATGAGTTTTGGTACGAAATCATGAAGCATTTCAACCCATGTCCATATAAAATAGGAGTAGGTTTGATCAGGAAAAAACTAATTTTATAAATTAATTTTATATTTTGAAATAAAGGATGTTATTGTGACTGACATGTTAAGAGTAAATGATATCCCATTATCAGCTCCACCTAGCTTTAAAGGTCGCTGGAGAGGAACATATGAGAGTCAACGAGTCATTGATGGAAAGATGAAAACCGAATGTTTTCGCATAAATGCTGAATTCTTGAATTGATGAAGATGACGACAAACTTCAGTTCTTGGACTTTGAAACTTGCAAAGTAACTTAATATTCTATGTATATTAATCACAAGCAAATGGGTTCGCTTATATATCAAGAATTATTATAATAAAAACATT